TGAATTGTTTTTCTTAAAGGTAAATAAGGGTAAACTGTTTTTTTTAATCACACAAGTAGCACGGAGTCTGGAATTGTGCCCCATATTTGGCAATAGGCTCACCCCCTATTACATGGAACTCATAACATAAATAGTGAAAAGTGGTATTAAGTGCCGTAATGTACACCTCTGCTAACCCCTTCGGGAATAAAAAGGCGTAAAAGGAAAAAAGAAGGCGAAGTTATGTTTCTTAAAGGTGATAGGTAATTCCCAGTATCTGAAGCACTATTTATAAATACTACGATTACTTATTACTCACTACATAAATGATATATGATTTACCTACATATATTACAAGTTACAACACAGGGTATTCCCTCTTGTTACTACTAAAGTTACGTACATACTTGAAAAATATTTCCACAATATACGATGATCAAGTAATCTAAAATATTATATTTTGGTACTCCCAACCATTTTTGCACCGAGGACTTTTATTTTTATTGTTAAAACGAAAAGGTTCATCATCCTTAATATTTACTAATAATATGCATTAAAGGAATTTAAATCATAATCCATAATGCATTGTATTTTATTTCAATATTTTGGTTTAAACTGACATAAAAATTACATTCTTATTGTTAATCATGCTTTGTTTATATTCATAAAGCGTTACGTAGTTCTTTTGTTTTTTTATTCGAATCATAACACAGCCAGAGATACCTATGTCCTTTGTATGTACTAGATTCGTAAATAAGGTGGCAAAGGGATCTCCTTGTGTATAATTTATGGTCATACTAGTTTCTGCCCGCGACAGAAGTTCAGTGACATACACACTCACAGAAGAATTATATATTATATATGTATAAAGATAGAAGATAGATGTAAATGTCGGGCTCTATCGCCCAAATACTGAAAGGCTACTATATATACAGTCGCGCTTAAGTATAGTTCTGTCCCTACAAATTCTTGGTAAAATGACAGAGATGGCACGATATTTAAGTACAATTTAACATAGAGTAGGCTCTCAGTGTTCGGCGTAAATGTCCCTTTTGTACTACAATCTTAATCAGCACTTATGAATCAGGGTGGAGACAGCACCTGTCTATACTAAACAGGTTGATTTGGAAATGTAATAGGGTCGATGCCTAATTTTTATTTTAATGTTCGTCTGGTAGATTATTTCAAATTATTAGACACGTATTTTTTATTTTCTTACAGAAACGAATACTTTCGACGACATTGATTTGAAATGTCGCGTGACGTCACTTCTATGTACTTTTTAGTACGTAGAAATGACGTTTTAGCCCCCACTCCTAAACTTTGATTCGTTTTATCTAAGTATTGTTTTATTATACGACAAAATAAAAAATACGTGTCTAATATTTTTTCATACCCTGTCATGATCCTAATTGTACCTAGGATCCTTACTTCTTCCTATATTGAGATTGTTTATATCAATTTTATATCTATTGTTCCAGTACAAAATATGGCAGACGCTGGAGAAGGATCCGCTGTTCGCACACAACACGGTGAGCCCGTCGGTCGAGGAACAGAAACGTATCACTCAACTGCAGCTCAAGAAAATAAACGAGTACAAATTCCACACTAAAGAAATGGTCAACTCTAGTTATAGTCGAAGGGTAAGTTCGAAATCTCTTTAAAGCTAAGATCCAAGATCAAGTATAGCTATTAACTAAGATTGCGTATAAATCGAGACTTTGCTTTAAGATCTGTAGTTTACTACATACGGACAGAAAATCTCGATTATACAACTGTTGGGCAGAGAGCCCGCCAGGCACGAACACCTTGCCTGGTCGGAGGATCTTCCTTTTTCGATCTTAAGGAACTTTACTCACTGTTTAATGCCATAATTTTTTTTCATTATTCGTAACTTTTTATTTTCACACATTAACGAATTATAAATTATAATAGAGGTATAATTTTATGCGATATTAAAAAAACTGACTTTTAAAACTGAACAATTAATTTGGTTGTTTTCCAAAATAAGTAAAATTTATATGCTTATATGCATTATTTTATCCTATGGTAGGTACTTAAATGTATAATGTAATAATATTTTTTATAGTTACCTTTCCTTGCTCCAAGATTTTTATAATCATATCGTTCTTTGACGTCATGCATTTAAAACAAGAAGTTAGAAGTTATAATTGATTTTCTTTTGACTGGCTTTGACCTGACTGACTCATAGATTTATCTCCCAAGGACTTTAGAATCATTTAGGTACTCATATAATGTATTTAGTCTTTAACATATTTAGTAAATATTATAATGTATCCAAAGTGCGCAAAACATAATGAGTAACACGCATATATTAAATATTAAACATATATAAAAATAGTTTTACAGTCATAAATTATCGTTTTAAATAAATGAAGACAATATGCGAAGATATATTTTTATAATTATAATAATAAATTTATTTTCATATAAAATAGTAGTGGTTTAGATAGGCCGTACTTTTTTAAATAATATACATAATAAATACTGTTATTATTTACTTAAAGCAAACGACAGTAATTTAATAGTTAAGGTTAAAAAGTTAATGATCGTAATTTAACTTAAATGCCACGTTTTTCTATTATTTTCAATTAATTTTCATCATACGTTACTCAATTTTTCATGAAGTTCTAGTCAAGGGTAGAATTTTAAATAAGATAATATTGTTTTTTTGTAATACATGTACCTTTCGTGTTCTTTCTATCAAAAGTTAAGAAATTGACATTTGAATTCTAGTTTTTATCATCATCATCATATTATTATTGTGCTGACTGAACATAGACTTTCCCGAATTACTTCTGACCTGTCTGAAGAGACCTTCAAACACTGGCTCCCTAGCTAGCGCTAAAACTAGTGGACACTTCGATATATGCTATTTTTTTCATACATCAGAACCTTCCCTTACCAATAACAAACCCAACAAAGAAAGATGATTCTTTCTTTGTTTGTAGGGCTTTTTTTTTTTTTTTTAAGGGGGGAAAATCATCGAATGACTGCCCCCGCCTGGGTGAGGCGGGAGGGAGTGTCAGACTCTTACTGACTAAAAACCACCCCGTTCCTTCTCCTGCACGTCGAGCCGGAGCCCCGGTTACCCGTTAGGTTCTCCGCGACTCCGAATCGGCATCGGCCCTATTGGGCCCCATCTGTTGTTTTACAGATGTTTGTAGGGCTAGGTTCTTTAGAACAGGTAAATCAATTTATATTTTCAAATCGATTTAGCTGTTCTCGAGATACCCGCTAAGTGACACATTTAGCGATTTATTTTTACATTATAGAGAAGATTAAACCGATTTCTTTTGCCCACAGACACGCACAATAATGACAATAAACGAGGCGGTGCAGTCTCTGAACCCCAGCGTCTCAGTCAAGATGGCGATCGGCATATATTTGTTTTCAAATGCCTTGCTATCCCTCGGTACTGAGCGGCACCACAAGTTCTACGAAGCTACCTTTGTTAATCGAGAGGTAAGGACATTACAATAATGTAATTAGTATAGATATCAGCTCATCAAGCTACTCTTTATCATCATCAACAGTTCGCCTTCCATCGTCGGATCATGGGGAGCCCCGCTACATAGCAATAAGGATTCCCATAATTTTAAAGTTAGGCAGGCAGGTTGGCCTCAAGTTACCTTGGCTTTGGTTGTTAGGTTGGTTCGCTGTTTTTAACTTCAGGCTTAAGACAGCGCCGCTCCGATCTACGAACACCCGAGGAAAAAGTAGAGCTCGTGGCAAATGTATTCTCCTGTCGCTTCCTTGCGGCAAATAGGTAACAGTTTTGGACTTTCTGGAAAAGAGTTAAGAAGTCAAATGACCTACTCTTGGTCCATGCCGGGGCTCGACTTCTTAATACACCTTATATTACATACTCATATTGAGAGATACTGGCGTTCCACTATGATAAGAGTCTAAGTTAATGTCCTCCAATCAAATGATTGACCGTGACGGTTGCTATCCAAACTCCATGTTCTAGAATGATGACCTCGGAAGTGACATAACATTGACATTTTTAGCGTAACATTCAGAGATAACAGATGTTATAAATGTGCTGTAATATTCAGTTATGCGGTGAAAAATTGTCGCCTTATCTGCTTTGTGTGTGGCGCTTTTGTTCTAACTACTTAATATATTATTTTTAAATATGACTGTCTCGTTGGCCAAGTGGTCACAAGTGCGGCAGCCGGGCAAGAGGTTACGATTCCCGGGTCGGGCAAAGTAATACTGGTATATCCTCTCGCGTGTCTCTCGTACACACGAGTGTACGAGAAACGCGAACCGATTGGGTATTTTTTCTGTGACGTATATTTTCAAGTTTGCAACCCGTTCTTTATTTGATTGAACAGTATAGTTAATTCGCTTTTCTATTAATATATTTACCCGTGTGTACGAGAGGCGCGCGAGAGGATATAGCAATAGGATTATATGGGACTCACAAAATAAATAGTGAAAAGTGGGTGTTACATTGTACAGTGGCATTAAGTGCCGTAATGTGCACCTCTGCCTACCACTTTAGGGATAAAATGCGTGATGTTATGTGTTATGTATTTTAAAATAAATGGTAGCGTAAAGATTAGGATAGGGGACTTGTGGTCCGTAGTCCAATTAACAGTCTCAGGATTGTTGATGTTGATCTCGTATATCACTGAATCTAAACGCTATGCAAGGAATAAACACATTGTCTGCCTTTATGATCGTACCCGCGACCTTGTACTCGGCCTTTAGGTTCTCGCCCACTTGGCTAACGTGACAGTCTCGAGAACTTCTATAGCTAGCAAAACAAATAAAGCGATCACTTGAAAATATCGGTTATTGTAGAAATAATGGCTAAATATTGATACAGTGCCTGCCTATCTATCGCAGTTTCGGGCAGTAACCCTGACTCTAATTACAGTAACTAGTCCACGGTCATTGTTCACGAAAGTTAATAATCCCGCAAATAAAATGAATCAACATTTAAATTGTAAGTAGAAAAACCTTATACCGATATCCCTGGGCCTGAAGAGGATGAGTAGTCTCTATCTATATATAGTTCAACTCTTTGGAGTTGGTACCCTAATTTGAGTATTATACTTTCAGATTTGTTTTATTTTATTTTATTTATTTACTAGCTTTTACCCGCGGCTTTGCTCGCGTCACAAAAGGATAAAAAGCCAATGTGACATATACCAATACACACAGCGCCATCTATACCAATACTTTTGTTTTCCCTTGGGAATATCAATTTTTTCCGGGATAAAAGTACCCTATTATTTAATCCGGACTTCTAACTATACATCTACAAAAATTCAAAGCAATCGGTTTAGTAGTTATGGCGTGAAAGCGGAACAAACAAACAAACTCACTTTCCGATTTATAATATTAGTAAGGATGTAAGGATGTACACACATTCAACACAGAGGACAATATATATATATATATAAAAACAGAGTACATAGGCCCCACATATTCCAATTGGAATTTCTTCCTGTGGGCCTTTTACTGAGATTTTAGTAAGTAACAATTAAAGACTGAAAGAAGACGATAATCAATGTTACTTATAGTGATTTGTACCCGTTATTATGTTTGTATAATTTATTTATTTCATTTGTTAATATCTAATCGGTGGCGTGTTCGTCCGCGAGTCACTTAAGGGGCCAGTAGAATACCAGCGCAAGGCCCTGTCTTGCACATGCTGAACTGGTCCCATTTCACGGCAGAATTGGGACATGAACATGGATCCATCAGTACCTACTAATACAATGATTTATTTGTACATGTCACTTATTTTTTGGCGTGAAATAAAGCTTTTTTCTTCCTTTCTTTCTTTACCTGCCGTAAAAGCTTTGAACAGTTTGGTGGTGCTGAAAAATAAGTTAAATGCATGTATCTGTAAGTGAATAAATAAAATTAAAAAAAAAGTTTAAAATATATAAAATCTCCATGGTCGTTTACCATTTTCGCTACTTACTAGTATCTACGTATGTTTAGCACCGGTACCAGAGTGTACCTAGCACCAACGAGGTAGCATAATAACCTATTATAGCATAACTATTCACCTTGCAGGCTTACACGCTGACTATCCAATTAGTTCATAATAATCAGACTACGTCTACCCTTTAATATGGGTTACCTACTGCTTACCCACAGAACTCACGACAAGGAAACTATATGCTATTTTCAAGTCACGCCGCAAGAAATTGCCTGCGCGACACTCGTTGTGTCATTTTTTGCGCAATGTTTCATGACTATAAGCCCTAACATGGCTTGAAACTAGTCGAGTGGCCTTGTTAAACAGTTTAACGCTAGAAAGCCATAAATGAAAAATAATAATAATAATAATAATAATAATATTCTTTATTGTACACCACATAAACACATAGGACAAACAACAATTAATATAGTGCACAATGGGCGGTCTTATCGCACAAGGCGATCTCTTACAGACAACCTTTGGATGGAGCTGTAATAGGAGTCAGATATGGGTCGTCAAGTGTACAAGTTAAAGACTTTAAAAAGAAAATAATAATAATATAATAATAATAATACCGTGTAAACCATAATATGTATAAATAAAATATATATATATGTATATATATATATAAATAAATATATGCATGTATATGCCTACATAAAAGTTATAAAAATAAGAATAAAATAGAACATAATACATAATGGTGTGTAAGTGTGCGTGTGTGCGTTTATGCATGTATGTGTACGTGTGTTACCATGTTAAGTAGGAGACAAGAAAAAACTATAAAGTTAGATAAAATTCTTTAACTAGTTTTTTAAATTGTGATATGGTTTGAGCTCGCCTCACTGTAATCGGTAGAGCATTCCACAACCGTGCTGCTTGTACTGTATAGGACTTGTCGAAAAATGTAGTGGAATGCAAACAGACGTTTAATTTCAAGCTCTCCGATGATCTTAAAAACTTCGTATGTGAGTTGCCAAGGTACGTAAAACGCTCTTTTAGATAGAAAGGGGTAGTGGGATTAAAGAGTACATTGTATAGAAGTGAAAGAATGTGAGTATTCCGGCGAAGGCGAATAGGCAGCCATTTGAGCTTATTGCGGAACTCGGAGACATGGTCATATTTGCGCAATCCAAATATAAACCTGATAGAAAGATTTTGAAGGCGCTCAAGCTTGTCTAATTGTTCTTGGGTGAGATCAAGATAGCTGGCATCAGCATAGTCGAGGATTGGTAGAAGTAGGGATTGTGCTAATGCAATTTTAGTAGTAGTGGGCAAGAAATTTCGAAGACGCCTCAAGGATCCCGCCGAGGCAAACATTCTGCGACTGACCTCCTGCATCTGTTTAGACCAGGAGAGAGTACTGTCAATGTAAATCCCCAAGTTCTTGACTTCGAAGGAAAAAGGAATTTTTGTGTTAAGCAGAGATACTTGGGGAAGAGTAGACCAGTCAATTCTGGAGACAGCCCTTGAACTGCCGACAACCGTCACCTGTGTTTTGGATGGGTTAATACGCAGGCCATATTTCATGCTCCAATCGCTAATTCGTGCCATGTCGCGGTTAACTAGAGCAACAGCATCTGGTAATTCATTAAGTGAAGCTTGCGTATAGATCTGCAGATCATCGGCATAGAGGTGGAAGGAAGAAGAGAGTTCTTTAGAGATAGAGTTGATAAATAGGGCGAAGAGTAAAGGGGATAGAACACCACCCTGTGGCACACCAGCAGCAGTACAACACCAAGAAGAATAACGATCGTCAGAGTGAATACGCTGCCGGCGACCAAATAGGTAACTACGAAACCAGTCAATAGCCGATGCTGATACGTTAAGAGAGCTGAGCACGCCAAGCAAAACGTCGAAGTCAACTGTATTAAAAGCGTTACTGAAATCGAGTAGGATAAGTAACGTCAACTTCCCCGACTCCATGCCCGACCTAATGTCATCAGTAATATTTACGAGCGCCGTGGTAGTGCTGTGCCCCGGGCGAAAACCAGATTGGTAGGGACTAAGGAGGCTGTGCCTGGTAAGAAAAGAACTAAATTGATGATGGACAAGTTTTTCTAGGATTTTAGACAGGAATGGAAGAATGGAAATAGGACGAAAATCGGAAAAAGAAGCAGGATTTGGTTTCTTGGGAAGAGGTATTACATGAGCTTCTTTCCAAATTTGAGGGAAGGCTCTGTTGGAGACCGAGGAATTTAGGACAAAAAGGATGACAGGGGTAATTTGATCGAGGATAGGAATAATCATTTTGCGGCTAACACAGTCACCACCAACGGCATTCGATGTCGTCGACAGAATGCTCCTCCTAACGTCACATGCGGCAAATTGACTGAAGTCGAAAGGAGAAAAATTTGGTAACGGAAGTAGAGAGAGAGAGTTTAAAGTAGCAGTTTTAGTGGCCATATCTAAAGTGGGTGTGGAGGAGAAGTGAGAATTAAGAAAATTTAAATCTAGATCTTTAGGCAAAGAGTTTTGGGTATGTTTTCCAATACCTAATGATTTAAGGAACTTCCACACTTTAGCCGGATCACTATTTTCAACAGATTTATGAATGTGTTGGCGTTTGGCATTCCTGCACACCTTGTTGCACTGGTTTCTAATTCTAATATATTTTACCCTGTTGCTGTCACTAGGCTGGATTTTAAATTTAAATTTTGCAGCAGCTTTTTTAGCCATCAGGTTTTTTATCTCCTCAGTTAACCAAGGTGCTGGGAGATGCTTAACCCTGACGGCCCTGACCGGTGCGTTTAAAATAGGGCAGATAACAAATTTTTATTTTAATGTCCGCCTGGTATATTATTTAAAAACATTAGACACGTATTTTTGTTATTTTCTTACGGAGACGAATAGTTTCGAAGATATATTGATTTGAAATATCGCATGACGTCACTTTTGAGCACGATTTATACTCTAAAATCTCTAAAATGACGTAGCTACCTCCCACTCCTAAACTTTGATTCGCTTTCTGTGGTTTTATCTAAATATTGTTTTCTTATACGAGAAAAAAAAATACGTGTTTAATATTTTTTCATTACCTAACTGACGGACCCTTCATCGTCCCTATTAATTGAATTATCTGTTCTTTTCAACAGACTTTAGCAAGTTTCGCGCTAACGGAGATCGCGCACGGGTCGGACGCGCGCCTGATGCGCACGACGGCGACGTACGACCCGGAACACAAGCAGTTCGTCATACACACGCCAGACTTCGAAGCGGCTAAATGCTGGGTTGGTAATCTAGGTAAAATTTTGTGTGACTATATTTATATGGAATACAGTTTTTGTCGTTTGCGGAATAGGTCTCAGAAGATGAATTTAAAAAGTTTTGAACTCAAAAAAGGATGATTTGCGGGTTTTTGACTAATTCGTAAGTTTTAACTAGACAAATGATATTGATAATAGGGTAGATGCCTAATTTTTATTTTAATGTCCGCCTGGTAGATTATTTTAAATCATTAGTCACGTATTTTTTATTTTTTTACAGAAACGAATACTTTCGACGATATTTATATTGATTTGAAATGTCGCGTGACGTCACTTCTATGTACATTTTATACGTAGAAATGACGTTTTAGCCCCCAGTCCTAAACTTTGATTCGTTTTATCTATGTATTGTTTTATTATACGACAAAATAAAAAAATACGTGTCTTATATTTTTTCATTACCTAACTTACGGACTAATTATATTCTTAATTTTCATACCCTGTCATCATCCTAATTGAGATATAGGGCATTTAAGTCCTTTGTAGGTAGTATATGGGAAGAATTTTGTACGAGAGCATAGAAATACGAGATTTTTATCCGCGTACCAACTAAAGCTTGTATGACTCACAAATGGCCCTTAAAAATGCCTTTAAGTGTTACACCTGTCAATGAATATTTTAAACAAAAAAATATTGCGAAATGTGTTACCAAGCAGACCTCTACATCGACCGGACCAATTTGCCAATTAGATTTTTTATCTTTAAATTCAAGGTTAAAACTTCTAGAATTTTAGAAGATATCAAAATGGAAAATCATTAATCAATTTAATACTCTTCTGTTGCTAAGCAGCTGAATAACATTGTACAGCTACCAAATTTTAAGAATATAGGAGATTCTTAACACGTGAACCGCCGTGTAGGTCACCGGTGACGTACGTTAGCGGAGGATTTGCCTTCATCAGTTTTCTGTCGGCAGTCAGAGGCTTAAGAAAAATAACCCAAAATATCTACAGAAATGGAAATCTAACTTGGGATAAATGTTTACTACTATTATAAATGTGAAAGTACCTTGTGAGTTTGTTTGTATGTTAGTTACTCAATAACTTCAATACGGCTGAAAGGATTGAAATGAAATTTGGATCAGGGATTTTTTAAGGATGTAAAATCATCGAATGACTTCTTCCGCCTGGGTAAGGCGGGAGAGAGTATCAGATTCTTACTGACTACAAACCACCCCGTTCCTACTCCTGCCCTTGCAGCCGGAGCCCCGGCAACCCGTTAAGTCCTCTAAGTCTTCCGGGGCTCCATATCTGCATCAGCCCTATTGGGCCCCATCGACGCGCCGTATGCTCGGATCTGGTTCTGGTCGGGCGGCGAGCTACCCATGCTCGTCGTCCGCAGGCTGCCCTTGGAACAGGGATATATTATGGATTAACACACAGGCTACTTTTTATTTAAAGGGAACGAGAACGAAGCCGATAGAAGCTAGTGAGTCAATGAAAATATAAGACTAGAATAATTCCTGACTCCGTGCTACTAGTGAGAATTATAAAAAAACCAGTAATACTTTGCCCGACCAGGGAATCGAACCCGAGACCCCTTGCCCGGCAGTCTCACTTGCGACCACTATGCCAACAAGGCAGTCATATAGACATAAAATAAATAAATAAATGACGTAATGTACAACGTATTTGTGTAAGCTGTATAGTGGGCGGTATTTTAGTTTGTCGACCATAAAAACTATCCGAGCTATTTATAAAAAAGCTGATGTTAACCTAGTTTGTTGATGTTCAAGGTCATCTTACATTTGTTTGGACGTGTTGCGGTTAAATCTGCCTCGTTTTTTAGTTGATTGATTGGGGACTGATCTTGAATTTGGTTTCTGGGTCAGGCTATGTATTGTCTTTTTGGAGTAAGCAAAATTGTACGCCACAAGTGCGTAATAGTATAGTATAGTATTTTTTATTTTGGTTTTCTTTTGAAGTCTGTTGGTGTTTAAGTATGGGAGAGCTATGCTTCGTCACGAATGGGCCGGCTCGACCGTAGTGATACCACGGCCCTATAGAAAACCGAAGTGAAGTAACGCTTACGTTGTGTTTCGTCGTGTGAGTGAGGTTACCGGAAGCCCAATTACCCTCCCCTTCCCCAATCTCCCCAATTTCTGAATTTCCAACAATCCTCAAACTCCAAATCCCCAAAAGGCCAGTAACGCACTTGTAACGCCTCTGGTGTTCCGGGTGTCCATTGGCGACGCCGATTGCTTATCATCAGGTATTATGTGTGCTCGTTTACCGCCTTATCCCATAAAAAATAGGGTAAATAAAATCTATTGCCCATTTGACAGTGCACTACACAAGGTTAATCTAAATCCAAGATTGATTGACAAGAAAAAAACAAAAAGCAGTTTTTTTTAAAAAGAGTAACGAATAAAGATTCTTGCTTGTTCTTCTCCATTCGAATCTACATTTTGGAATGAGCACCTAGCTTCACCTACCTTCACTGACGAACTGACTGACAGACTATTATTTATTTTGTATTTGTTGACGTTTCAAAAGTACCAATTTATGGTTTAATTGAAATTTGAAAAAAAAAGCAATCTTGAACGTGAACGTCTGGCATGAAGACGGATCAGGCACCGAAACCAGAACTTAACGCACAATAGTCATTACAAGCATTAAACCAACGCCACAAATATTACAACAGCATCAATATAAACACCATGTTCTGCGTACAATTAGAAATAATTAACAATATTAGTAGGAGGTCGCTACTCGCTAGGCTCCCACTATAATGTTAGTAGGATCAATGAAACTCTTGCGCATATCACGCCCGCAATATCATTCTAATCACGGTAAATGTAGTATAAGAATAATCTAGGGAACTGCTGTACTGATTTTGATGAAATTTCGCATCGTGGCCTAAGAGTAAGTGAAGAAAAGTTTTACTAAGCTTTGGAAATTTTGTGACGGGACCTATAAATGCTTCGATTGATATTTTGGGATTGGGGAATACGATAGAGGGAAGATAGGCCTCAGATACTCACAATCTTTTCATAATTATTCTATGATATGAAAGTAAAGTAAAGATGGTATTACATCATAAAGCCTACTTAATTACATATTGTTATATATTTAATTACATACTCGTAATGAGTGAAGAATTTAATCAGTCAATTAAATCAATTAATTATCTATGATTCACAGCCTAACCTGTTTTGATGGTTATTGTTATTTGTTGTATCGGATATGGCGGTAATTTTGTGCACAGATTAAATAAGGTTTATAGATTATTTTAAGGGAAATTGAGGTTTTTATTGCGAATATTATTTTGTAACGATAGAAAACTATTTATAAGGTTGAACTTCATTATTTTAGTGATAAAGGCAACTCCGAAATTGAAGAATTCTTTGTCGATTTTCAATTTTGCCAATTTAATTTTGTCCTATGTGGGAATGCTGTATATTTTTGGTACTGTCCAACAGATATCACTTTCGCATGTAATGTATATTTTGCAAAAACCATTTATACCTTTTACAACGAAGCATTATGTTGCCAAAAATAACTTCAAATGAATATTTTGCAATCAAAAATATGAAGGTTCCAAAAGTCATTAAAACCTGAGCCTGGCTTTTTCCCTGACGTCAGTTCATTTGTCCTAAGTAAAAAAATAAGTGAAAATATAATTTGACAATCGGTCATCTACCTTTCTGTTCCAATGGAGTGGAATTTCACTCTCGAACATTAAAAAAGAGGGTCCCAAAATTGGACTTCAAAGGACTTTAGACCTTTAATTATATGAATTAAGGCATCAAATTCAGTAATGTCTTGTTATTCTTATTTCGGTTAATTGAGCCGTTTATTGATTAGTACCGCTACCATCTTTGTTCGTCAAACTACCCTAAATTGTTTGCAATAAAGTTTATAATCGGTTAAATTATTTTAGCGGTTTGCCTAACAGTGTACGCTTATTTTTTTACATTTTTATTTCACGTTAATCTAATCTAGGGCTTTTAGTATGTGTGCGTTTAAAAAACAAATATCACAATATAAACATCACACTCAGACAAAGAACGACAATTTTTAGATTACAAGGAATTGTTCCGGTTCATTTCAGAACCTGGGATACGTTGCATCGTAGACAACAGGCAAGCTACTGCGCCAACTGATTGTAGATAGACAACGATTTTTAGATCGCAAAGAGTTGTTCTGTACGAGAATGGAATTACGTTGCGCAGACTGCCTCGTTGGCCGAGTGGTCGTAAGTGCGACTGCCGGGCAAGGGGTCTCGGGTTTGATTCCCGGGTCGGGCAAAGTATTACTGGGTTTTTAAATATTCTCAGTAGTAGCACGGACTCTGGAATTGTGCCCGGTATATGACAATATGCTCATCCCCTATTACATGGGACTCATAACATAAATAGTGAAAAGTGGGTGTTACATTGTACAGTGGCATAATGAACACCTCTGCCTACCCCTTCGGGGATAAAAGGCGTGATGTTATGTTATGTTATTTTGCGCATGTCGATCACCCAACCAAAAATAAAATATTTATATATTATTTCTGTTGACGTCAAATTAATAAATCATCCTATTTACAGTACAGTACCCACTGAATTATGTTTTAAACAATTAACTAAACTAATTAGTAAAAACGATATTCATTTAAATTATTTCGAATGAATTTGTTAACCATTTGGTTAACAAATTCATCAATCAGATCTGTTTTGCATTTCAAAATGAGTAATGTTTTATTTGTAAATGAATAATTTAATTTAGTTTAGTATATTTATTTATTTTCGGGTTTTCCCTCCTTGTCAACTAAAATGACTGCATCCATCTAAACAATATTTATTACACGAATAAGTCATAGTCCGAGGTAGCACAAAGTGGTCGCAAGTGGTCGCAAGTGCGGTTGCCGGGCAAGGGGTCTCGGGTTCGATTCCCGGGTCGGGCAAAGTATTACTGGGTTTTAAAAAAATTCTCAGTAGTAGCACGGAGTCTGGAATTGTGCCTGGTATCCGGGACTCATACATGGGACTCATAACATAAATAGTGAAAAGTGGGTGTTACATTTTACAGTGGCATAACGTGCACCTCTGCCTATCCCTTCGGGGATAAAAGGCGTGATGTTATGCAAAGCTACTAAACCATAAATATTTTTATTTTACCCAGGTAGAACATGCACACACACATTGCTGTTCGCTCAGCTGATCACACCAGACGGCACCAACCACGGTCTTCATGGGTTCCTGGTACCCATCCGCAACCCTGAAACTCTGGAGACATATCCTGGTCTCATTGTAGGAGACATGGGCGAGAAGATTGGCGTCAATGGAATTGATAATGGGTAAGTTTAATTAGATTATCTTCATGCGAATAAACTCGACTAATTTCGGGGATGCTCAACTAGTTTCAATCACAACTGGAGTCCGTAACCATGAGCTGTGTACTCTGTAGTATTAACACGTAAGCTGTGCTAAAACGTATATAAAATATAGTTTGTAATCACATAATACACAGTTACACAAGTTATCTATCTTTATACAACTCACGATTCCTCGTACTAGCATTACTCATGCATATCTCCTATTAGAATAAGCGTCGTTCGGTCTGTGTCGTCACTTCGAAGTCAATTGTTGCTAAGGGCCCATTGCGTGTAGCCCGTATGTAGCTTCCTGCCTCTTCAAGCTGTTAAACAGAATGCGATTGAGTAATTTAGAGCGACATTCTTCATATTATGATTGCGCTGGTTATTTGTCAAAAATGTGGGATTATTAGATCTCTTGTTGTAAGGTGATCATTGATATGGATTAGGGCTTAGGACCTCGTTGTTCTATTAAGAATAACTTTCCGTATACATAAGTTGGGAGTTTGATAAAATAATTCATGCGCGACATATAGCTTGCCTAACTAAACTAAAGATATTTGCTATTTATATGTACGACTATAACACATTCATGGAAAATGACATTTTAAGTGTTAGAGCCATGCTTCGGCATGAATGGGATGGCTCAACCGTAGTGATACCACGGCCTCACAGAAATTTAACGTGAAACAACGCTTACGTTGTATCGTTGTGTGAGTCTCCCCAATCCCCCAATCCCTAACAATCCTCAAATGCCTAATACCTAAAAAGACAATAAGACACATGTAACGCCTCTGGTGTTCCTGCTATCCATTATCATAATAGTCGACACATAGATGTCCACCGCTAATATATTAGTCTACCTGCATCTAAAGTACAGACACACAAATTCCTTCTATACAGTTCTATCTTTACCAGTTACTCATACTTCCAACAATCAGATAACATCTAAGATTATCACCACTATCTGCATCAGACGGTATCTTTTCGAGTTTATTTGTGTTGACAGCTTTACTCATATCTAATGGACATAAATCCATGGATATGAAGATAAAAGATTAAACACCCATTCATACTTACAAAATTACGAGACATAAGATCATGTTCGCATTGGTATGCGTGTGCGCAGGCTAAACATAACGATGGGGGGGTAACATAACATGTTCAATGTAACTTTTCACCTGTTATGAGTCTTACTTAATAGTGCTAAGAATTGGGTAGTTTCTTGGGTCAAAAATAAATTATTTTGATTTTTTATTTATTTATTTATTTATTAAACTTTATTGCACATACAGAGTAATTGGCGGACTTAATGCCGTAGGCATTATCTGACAGTCGACCATTGGGTGGTGCAGAATGTTAAAGCGGTAGGTGCAAAATTGTAAAAAGAAAGTATGAAGTAGTAGATAACGAAGTTAAGGTAATAAAATATTAAAGAGGGAAGATATGATAGTTATAGTCGATAATACATAACTAAGGGTATAGGGACTTCGCCCTGAGGACACGGTGGAACACACGGTGGGAGAATGCCCTTCGTGGGCTGAGCACCGCCGTGTCCTCAGGGAAGTGATCGGCGATGGCGACCTCTCGCGTCCGGGCCTAGTGCAGGCCATGATGCGGAGCGAGGGGGATTGGGATGCCGTCTCCTCCTTTTGCGAAGCAGTCATGCTAGCTAAGGAGGAGGCGGGACGCGTGAGGCAGCGAAGCGCTGCCTCCTCGCAACCCAGCCATCGCGAAGGACACACCGGGCGTCGGGGATCGCGGGACGATCTCCGGCCACCGTAAGCGCGGGCCTGCGGACGGCGAGCATGGGTGGCTCCCCGTCCGACCAGAAACAGACCCGAGCGTACGGCGCGTCGCGTTCCGCGCGCGCCTCAAAGAGCCATCAGACCACCACAGATGGGGCCCAATAGGGCCGATGCCGATTCGGAGTCGCGGAGAACCTAACGGGTAACCGGGGCTCCGGCTCGACGTGCAGGAGAAGGAACGGGGTGGTTTTTAGTCAGTAAGAGTCTGACACTCCCTCCCGCCTCACCCAGGCGGGGGCAGTCATTCGATGATTTTCCCCCCTTAAAAAAAAAAAAAAAA